AAGTCATTCATTATGTTCTATTTCCACCCATGGACTTCTCCTTCCCAACGTTGACTCCTGCCCTATAATGCCTAGTGAAATGGGTGCCAAGTTCAAAATGTATAAACTTTTTATTCAAAGTTAAAACTGCAATCCCTTCTCTCCATCTCTGTGGATGACAGAACGATCATATTTAACCTGAGACTCAGCTTTCACACTCTCAAAAGCAGGTTCTGTGATCCAGGACCATATATGAGCTATTGCACATTGCAGAATGCCTGGTACTTTTGTCCACAGATTGCTGCCCAGCCTGTACAGAATTGATCCCATTATAAGGAATTCTTAAGCACCCTTAAGAACATATGAATGACCACACAGGGTCAAATAAAAAAATCCATCTAGTCCACTATCCTGTCTTCCGACAATGGCCAATACCAGATGCCCCAGAGAAAATGAACAGAACAGGGAATCATCAGGTGATTTATTCCATCGCTCGTTCCCAGCTTCTGACAAACAGAGGCTAGGGACACCATCCCTGCCCTTCAGTATTCCCCGTAAGCTGAGTGCTTGGGCAGCTGCCCATGAGCAATTCCAATGCCACCCAGTTGACTAGCAGAGCAATTGACTAGCAGAGCTGGAAGCATGTATTTCTATAGGTGGTGCACATTCTCACATGCTTTGGTGCACATAACAAAATATATTCTGCACGTGGCTGGGAAAATTTAGAGGAAGCATTGCTGCCCCTCCTAGTAGTCATTGATGGACATATTCTCCATGAATATATCTCGTTCTTTTTTTGAACCCTTGTTTGTCTTGGACTTATTTGGTCCAGATTCTGATCTGCTTTTCTATTGGCCTCTTCATCTTCCAGGCGTTCATGACCAATTGTTTGCAACTCCAGTCATGTTACTATTTTAAAACGATTGTTCTCTATTTGAACAACTGCCGCAAGGTCTTGAAAGCTGCCTGAGTAATCTACGATAGGATCCAAATATTGATCTTGTAGCTAAATTGCAATTACCGGACTAAGTCAGAGACAAACTATTGCAGACGGACTTAATAAAAACAAAACTTCTTACTCATGAATGTAGCAATCAGAACACACAATTAGAGCAGCAAGAATGCCTCAGCTCTTCACACTATACGGGACATAGACAAGGAGCATCTGACAGCTGCATGACACTTCACAGAAGCACGGCGTAATACAATGGGACTGACTCTGATCCAAGATATGTGGCACTCACCTCTGTGTTTCCTGCACCCAAGGAATGTGAGGCACCCAATGAAGCACAAGTTTCTGTGTGGTAGTATTTGCATCTGTTTTGGTATGAAAGGGAAGAGATGCCTGTATCAGGCACTATGCCACAGCCTGGGCTAAGACTCAGCTGACTCAGTGTCTATTCCTGGCTCTTTCACAAACTTGCTGTGTGATTTCTCTTTCTCTATATAGCCTCTGAGCTCTTCAGGGCAGGCACTGTCTCTTATTCTGTTTATGGGCAGCATCTAACACAAGGGGCCTTGATCTTGATTGGGACCTTTAGGTGCCATTGCAATATGAATCATCTAAAGGCAGGTCTCAAAACCTTCACTCCATTCAGCTGTGAGGCCACAGGCTGAGGGCCACTGAAGACGAACTCTCCTCTCAGCATGAAGTCAGAGCTCTGGTGTGTTGGCGGAATGGGGCAGGAGAGCCATGCCCTGACAATGCCTATGCAGTAATTATTTGGGGGGCTAAAAGGACTCCATTCCCCAGCATTATCACTGCAGCACTGAATTCCCTCTGGAAGTGAACTGATACCCCAGGCTCTAAGGCACCAGGGGAGAAATGGGGCTCCTAATGCGCTATTCTTGGCTGCACAACTTGCATCACCACAGCTTTCTGGCATTGAGAGATGTGTCTCCAGGAAACTACTCTGCACAGAGCCCAAAGGAAAGGCAAAGAGAATAACCAACAAGGGAGTCCATCATGCCTGTGTGAAAGGCCAAAACAAACTTTAAAGAGCTACAGAGCTGGGGCAAGAGCATTGTGCACCCATGTGCTGGGAGGCAGGAAACAATTCGTCCTTCCCCAGGGTTTGACATTGCAGTATTTTTGCTTCACTCCTTATCTCCATGTACTAGAGGGTGATTGTATCACATGCTGTCTGCAGAACAGAATGACTTTCCTCACTGAAGTAGTTTACGTCTCAGAGGGATAACCGTGTTCATAGAATCATAGAGCTAGAAGGGACCTCAGGAGGTCATCAAGTTCAGCCCCCTGCCCAAGGCAGGACCAATCCCAACTAAATCAACCCAGCCAGGGCTTTGTCAAGCCGAGACTTAAGAACCTTTAGGGATAGAGATTCCACCACCTCCCTAGGTAACCCATCCCAGTGCTTCACTACCCTCCTAGGGAAATAGTTTTTCCTAATATCCAACCTAGACCTCTCCCACTGTAACTTGAGCCCATTGATCCTTGTTCTGCCATCCATCACTACTGTGAACAGCCTTTCTCCGTCCTCTTTGGAACCTCCCTTCAGGAAGTTGAAGGCTGCTATCAAATCCCCCCTCACTCTTCTCTTCTGCAGACTAAACAAATCCAAATCCCTCCGTCTCTCCTCATAGGTCATGTGCTCCACCCCCCTAATCATATTTGTCCCCCTCCACTGGACCCTCTCCAATGTGTCCACATCCTTTCTATACTGGGGGCCCAGAACTGGACACAATACTCCAGATGTGGCCTCATCAGAGCCGAATAAAGGGGAATAATCACTTCTCTAGATCTGTTGGCAATGCTCCTCCTAATGCAACTTAATATGCCATTAGCCTTCTTGGCTACAAGGGCACACTGTTGACTTATATCCAGCTTCTCATTCACTATAATCCCCAGGTCCTTTTCTGCAGAACTGCTGCTTATCCAGTCTTTAACAATACTTGGGATTCTTCCGTCCCAAGTGCAGGACTCTGCACTTGTCCTTGTTGAACCTCATCAGTTTTCTTGTGGCCCAATCCTCTAATCTGTCTGTATCTTACAAAATGAGTACTGCTGTGGCACCTCTGAGACTAATAAATACATTAGCTCATGAGCTTTCGTGGGTTAAATTTACTCTAATGTATTTGTTAGTCTCTAAGGGTATGTCTACACTACCCTCCTAATTCGAACTAGGAGGGTAATGTAGGCATACCGCACTTGCAAATGAAGCCCGGGATTTGAATTTCCCGGGCTTCATTTGCATGAAGCCGGCCGCGCCATTTTTAAATCCCGGCTTATGTAATCCTCGTGGAATGAGGAGTACAGCTAGGTCCGATTAGGAAGCCTAATCCGAACTAGTCACTACGTG